CACAAAAAAAAAAAAAAAAAAAAAAAAAAAAAAAAAACACATTATAGTAAAATTAATACCTTCTCAGCTTCGCATCGAAGTTAAAAATTATTTAGATTAAATTGCATAGAAGTGTATTTTTATAATGATGGAGTTAAACACTGTATGATTAAATCTATACTTATTTCAATTTTTCTTCGGTCTCATTGTACTTGATTTTAGCTTAGATACGAAGCTAAGAAGGTATTGGTTTTACTATTGTTATTTTGTGGGCCTTTTACCACTTTTTCTCAGCTCTCATCAAACCGATTTCTTTTAACGATACGTCAAAATATCACAAATCGTATCTAGTCGAAAATATTAACCTTCAAAAAATGAAAAAAATTTCCCTCGTTCTCCATAAATTTCGAAATTTTTTCAATTTTGTTTTATAGATGTTTGATGTTTTCACCTATTATATAGTGTATTTTTTTTATAAATCTGACCCTTTACCTGCCCAAAGGAGGGGATTTAAAGTGACAAATTATTCACAAAAAATTTACTTTTTAAACTTAACTTTTGAAAGTTATCCGGAAAGTCTGACACTTTTATATATATCTTAAATTAAAGTTAATGTAATGCACTTTATTACGGAAAAAAAATGTCGGACTTAATTTTGTCTTCATAGTGAAAATGGCAACCAAATGCTATATTTGTGTGAAAATTCTCGATTTTGTTTTTTACATTTTTAACTTTATTATCCTATAACTTTTTGAAAAGTGTATGGATCAACACAATTTTTTTATGAAAAATAATATTAAATACCTTTTATATATTTTATCTTAATCATTAAAATGGCATTTATTTTTGTGTGAAAATTCTGGATTTTGATTTCAAACCCCCCTCTCCCTCAATTAGATCATTATTATGAAAAAGTAATTTGAGTAAAATATGGCCATGATTAATCAACCCTTTCAGGTGCCCCCAGGAAGGTCAAAATTGATAACAAGTCATTTTCTGAGTTATTTTTGCTTATTGATAGAAAAGTATTGCACTAATCGTAAAAATGAATAGTATTTAAAGTGTAGCTATAAACTTTTCCAATAAAAAGTATTCTTATAACATTTTTCTCAAGTCTATTATTTTCCAAGAAAATGATATAGTAGGTTAAAATTTTCCAGGGGTAATTTTTAGATTTTTTTAATTATCTTAAAAACTATTGTACATTCAAAAAAAATGTAAAGGACTAAATGTATAGAAAATTTATTTTCTATAAAATAGAATTTCACTTAAGTATATTGTTTTATATAATAATATGTCTCAATATTAGTTTTTTCAACATATATTAAATATGATTAATAATACAACTAAAAGTCCAAGACTAATTTTTAGCGACTTCTTTATCGTCATTTTTATAAAAATACAATTTATTTAAATCCCAATTGTATGCTGGAAATAGATAGAAAACATCATAAACTTGTAGAACGAATTGAAAAAAGGTCTACAAATTTTGCCGAAAAAAGAAATAGAGCTTATAATGAAATTAAATCTTCAAAAATGTCATGAAGTTCCAATACCTAAAGGCTTGTTTAACCGAACCTGCGCTCGATTTCATTGCATCATTGAACTCATTTGAAACGGCCTTTGAATTAGAAATGAAACTTCTAGTACAATGTTATGATCATAAGCGTCGTACAATTCATGCACACATTCGGTCTATTCTTGATTTACCTCAAATCACTAAGTCTTCTGTTGTTGGTTTAAATAATTTTTTGTCTGACATGCAGCGGCATATACAAGCATTAAAGAACTTCAATCAGCCTGTTAATCAGTGGGACACAATAATTCTTGAAATAGTATTAAGCAAACTTGATAGAGACACGCTTCAGCAATGGGAGTTATCGCTTGACACGACAGACATAGTACCATTCTCCAAATTAGAAACATTCTTAACATCGCTAGTGATGTCCTTGGAGGCTTATGAGGGAGGCTCTGGTCACATAACTAGTGTTTCTAAATCAGCAACTTCTCGTATAATGGAAAAACGATCATTTTTTACTCAACAAACGACTACCAACAATAACAAATGCGCAATGTGCCACGAAAACCACAAACTTTAAAACTATACAAGAATTGTTTCTTTGACTCTCTCTGAGCGTCATCAAAGGGTTAAGTCCTTTAACATGTGTTAGAATTGCTTAAGTACAAAACATAGTGTTCGAGACTGTTCATCTGCTCATAGTTGCCATACATATCACAAAAGACACCATTCTTTATTGCACTATGAGAAACATGTTAGCAACAACAAGAACCAGAAGCACAATAAAGATGGAAGGCAAAAAGGATTCTTCAAGATCAATCAACAATCAAGCAACAATGATTCCTCAATAGTTAATGATGCAACACAAACTTCAGATTCAGTTGCTGGGCCATCTACAGTCTTGTGTGCTACGCAAAGTTAAAGACCAGTGTTGACCACAATTTCGCAAGGATCAGTGGTTTTGGCTACAGCAGTCGTTCACATGGCAAACGGTAATTGTGAAGGCATTGCGTGTCGAGCCATAATGGACTCTGGCTCTCAATTAAATTTTGTTACAGAGAGTTTTTCAAAAAAACTACAGTTGAAAATGTTCAAATCAGCAGCTACTGTCGTGTGAATCGCAGCAGCTAAATCTGAATGTCAATGGTCTGCATCGGCAGCAATTATGTCAAGATTTAACAACTTTCGGAGAAGTGTTCAATTTCATGCTATTCCCATCATAACTGAGTATCTGCCTAGATGTGTAATTAACATAGCAAATCTAAATCTACCAGAGAATGTACAGAGCGAACTTGCCGATCCACAGTTTACCACGTCGGGCCCCGTTGGCTTACTTTTAGGAGCAGAAGTGTTTTTTGAGGTTTTGGGATGTGAGCGTCGCCAAGTTTCCCCTGAGGCCTATGTTCACCGTACCATGTTAGGGTGGATATTTTCGGGACGCGTGCTTGGGCTAGACTTCCAATCATTTTTTAACTGCTCGGTTGATGATAAACAATTACTTGTGACAAACTCCACAGGCATCATGTTAAAAAACTCGACATCTGAAGAAGCTCAAGCATGATGTGAGTCACATTTTCAGCGAACTACGATCAGAAACACGCAAGGTCGCGTAGTGGTTCGTCTCCCATTCAAGCAGCCTCCCTCAGTGCTCGATGACTCGTTGTTTATGGCCAAGAGCAGATTCTTCAATCTGGAGAAAAGATTTGCGCGAGACCCTGAGCTCGCCAAGGACTACAAGAATTTCATAAACGAATATTTGGATCTAGGCCATATGAAAAGAGTTTCATTAGATTCCAATCTGTCAGAGGAATCGTATTATCTTCCTCACCATCCAGTTGTTAAGTCATGCAGTTTAACAACTAAGGTTCGCGTAGTATTTGATGGATCTGCTAAAACTTCTGGCAAATCTCTCAATGACATTCTCATGATTGGAGCTACGGTACAAGAAGATTTTTTTCCATAGTTCTACGTTTTCGCATGCACCTTATTTCCGTCTATGCTGAAAAAATGTACAGGCAAATTAGAATGCATCCAGATGATCAAAAATATCAGCGGATTCTATGGAGGAATTCTCCAGATTCTGAACTTTAACACTATGAGCTACACACGGTTACTTACGGCACTTCGAGCGACTCGTTCTCTCATCTTTATTGCTGACGAAGCGTTAAAACAAAACCCCAATTTAGAAAAGGCTGCATATTCTATTAAGAAGGACAACTACGTCGACGATTACCTAAGTGGAGCGGACAACGTAGTGGAGGCCACTTGTCTCATAAAGGACGTCTCTAGTATACTTAGCTCAGCTGGACTAAACCTTCGCAAATGGTGTTCTAATTCAGCAGAAGTACTCGGTTCCATCGAGTCTGCGGATACTACCTCTAATTTTGTGCTCTCTATTGGCGATGATGAATTTGTAAAAACTCTTGGATTCGTTTGGTTACCTACGTCTGACAATTTCAGCTTTCGGATAAAATTTGGTGTCTCGAAACAAAACTACCAAGCGGTCCGATCTCAATCGTGTATTTGATCCTCTTGGTCTTGCAGGTCCAGTCCTTATTAGAGGCAAGGCATTTCTACAAGAGTTATGGCAACTTAAACTCTCATGGGATGATTTACTATATCAAGAAATGATAGATCGATGGGACGCCTTCTTAGACGATCTACAAAAATTTGATCAATTGGCCTTACCTAGAAGTATTAAATGTGAACATCCATCCTGCGTAAGCATTCATGGATTCTGCGATGCTTTGCAGAAGGCTTACGCGGCGTGCATATACTACCGTCATCAAACCCCAGGTGGCCATTGGTCAAGCCGGCTGCTATGTGGTAAATCAAGAGTTGCTCCACTTATGATTGTAAGCATTCCACGCTTAGAACTTTGCGCTGCTCATTTGTTGTCAGAGCTTATAAGCAAGATTGTAGATACGCTGTCTATAAGTACTTTTTCATTTAATTGTTGGACGGACTCCATGGTTGCCCTCGCTTGGAATGAAGACATTTATCGCTAATTGAGTATCTCAAATACATGAAGTCACGAATCCAAATCTATGGCGATACTACTTTGGTATGACATGTGATGGAATGGACCATCTTTTTTGCAACACGAAGAAGATGAGTGGCCGCAGGAGAAATGTGGCGTGAGCGTTCCAGAAAATATATTAGAGAAGAAGGTCATTAGTTTTACATTACTGACAAGTAATGAACCCATAGAAGTAATCGAGCGTTATAGTACATATAGTACATGGTCTCGCATGCGTAGAATAACGGCCTATCTACTTAGATTCGTAAGTAACGAGAAATCAAATTCTTCGCTGCGAAGGAAAGGGTGTTTAACGACGGCGGAATTGATTAATGCAGAACGAGTATTGATACATCAAGTTCAATCGCACACATTTTCAGAAGAGCTGAAGGCGCTATCAAGCGGTCGTCCCGTTTCAACTAACAGCAAACTAAAGTCCCTACATCTATTTCTGAGTCAGGGATTAATTCAAGTAGGCGGTAGACTTCAACATGCTTCTAAACCCGAGTTTCAAAGGCACCCCATTCTACTACCTGCAAGGTACAAGCTAACGGACGCTATTCTCGAGCACACTCACCTTAAGTTACTTCACATCAGACCATTGGGTTTATTAGCCAATACACATCTAAGATATTGGCCTCAAAACGGACGAAGATCAGCCAGACGCATTGTTCATAAATGTATTACATGCTTCAAAGCGAAGCCTACCTCTCGGCAACCCTTCATGGGTGATTTACCCGCAGCATGGGTAAATCAGATGCGTCCATTTGCCAGATGTGGAGTGGACTTTGCTGGGCCTATATTCCTTCGTAATGGTTCGCATAAAGTTGTTTTGACCAAGACTTATATTGCAGTCTTTATATGTTTCTCCGTTAAAGCTATTCGCTTGGAGTTGGTTAGCAGCCTAAGCGCTGACGCGTTTTTAGCAGCTTTAAGGAGATTTATGGCACGACGTGGTACCTGTTTCGACATATATTCAGATAATGGGACTAATTTCGTGGGAGCACATAGAGAGCTAAGGGCATTGTATGGAAAGAGCTCTACTAGAAGAACTGTCCAACAAATCCTGACTGACGAGGAGATCACTTGGCACTTTAACCCACCCGGTGCCCCAAATTTTGGCGGATTATGGGAGGCCGGAGTGAAGTCCGCAAAACATCATCTAGTGCGGTGTATAAAATCAGCACATTTATCTTTTGAGGAGCTGAACACTGTTGTTAATCAAATAGAGGCTTGCTTGAATTCTAGGCATCTATATCAATAGATCTATATGTTATATGTTATCTATATGTTATCTATATGTTCAAACGACCCAAGTGATTTGGAAGCTCTTACTCCAGCGCACTTCCTAGTTGGAGGACCTTTGAATCTTCCACCACAGATAATCTACAAAGAAATCCCAAACAACAGACTAAAAAGATGGCATCTATTACAAAAGTTGTATCAAGAATTTTGGAGGCGTTGGTACAAGGAGTATTTATCTGAATTGCATATGCGTTACAAATGAACCAAGCAAACTGAGTCAATTAAGGTGGGCACTCTTGGAATTATTCATGACGCAAATCAGCCGTATATTAAATGGTTTCTAGCAAGAGTTATCGATACGCACTCTGGACGAGATAATGTGGTTTGGGTCATCTCAGTCAGGACTTCTGGTGGAACCATATTGCAGCGGCCAGTTGGCAAATTTTCGCCATTACCGATGCAAGATGATGGTGAAGAAATTTTTTCACCGGGGGGAGTATGTTAGGGCGCGGGCAGATAGTGCTGCGATCTATGCGTAACGGTGGGACCTGTGGGCAGCCATGCTCACGCCCTCCTTTCATGTGAGGTTAACATTTTTTCTGTTGTTATCGTGGTTGATAAAATTAAAAATAATAGTCACTCTGCTTTTTTTTCCATTTTTGTTCTGTTGGTCTATTCAATTATTTTTTGTGTTAGTTTATAATCTTTTTATAAGCCGTCAAGGCAAATAATTTTGTTCAACGTCGTCCAGACGAAATCTTTTGTAAGCCGTCCAGGCAAACAATTGTGTTGTTGTACAATCAAATAGTTAAGCACTGAATAAGTCAATACAATTAGGTAAGACATTGCATTATAAGTTTATTTGTTCCTACTATTATTATTGTTTATTTAAGCCTTTATAAATTATTATACTGTTCAATAATTGAATCAGACTCATTTATTTATATTAACTTTCTTCCCTCTCTATTCATAAAAAATACAGTCCACTATAAAAAAAAAAAAAGGGGGAAAGGTGTCGCGTATGCGCATTATTATTATCTGCCCGCGCCCTAACAATTTCCAACGATTGTATGTAGGACGTTCTCGAGGGTGACAATTACTCGATTGTAAACATCGATAACGACGTTACAATTATTATGTATAATTCAATTAATTATAACTTCTGTAATAGTCAAGGACAAGTGGGGTGACGACGGCCGCTACTTGACGTACACTATTTCAATGTAATGTATACATTTAATGTTAAATGCAGTGAAGACTCGTGGGTCCTGGTGGTGGGGGTGCGACTTTAAATGTAATACCTCTAATTATAGCTATAAAAAAAAAATTGTCAAGTTAAATATAATAAAAGAATGTGCAATACACATATTATTATTTTAAAGGTACAGTAGAAAATAATAATAATAACCAATAGCGATTATACTATTATAGCAACCGATAACGACGAACATAGTTAATTCTAAAAATATAATACCAATTATAGTTATTATATTAATTATACATATAATTAATAGTAGTATACTAATATTAACGAGATGCTTTTCTAAGCATCTGGTAGGCAATGATAAAATACTATGTAAAAATTAAAATGACGCCTATGAATGTTATAATATAGCGGTACCTTTGATGTTAGAAATATGCTTAGCTATGCGTCTGATAACCGATGATAATATTCTTAGAAATTATAATGCCATAACGACAGACGTTGTCATTGTTTTCATAAAATGCCATTTGGATTGACCTTAACACACCCACCTAAGTCACCTATTACCCCCACCATCGTGAGACCACGCCTCCGCCTCACCCCATCTATGATAAGACCACGCCTCCCCTTACTCCATCTATGTTAAGATCACGCCTTACCCCCACCTTCTTAATCCACTTTACCATTACTCCCACCATCGAGAAACCACGCCCACTATATGACACGCCCCTCCCCCTCAGACAACGACCAGCCACCATACTGGTGGGATATGGAGGGGCGAGGCGGGTGCCTAGAATTCCCTAAATTACCCTACTACTATTGTTAAAATTTATTCTAAAAATACTTCAATTATTTTTAAAAAAATTGTCAGCAAAATGATAAATCTATGAAAAGTTATAAGCGTTGTCAGTTAGGTCTGAGACACCTAAATATAATATAAAGCAAGTCCTTGAATTTTTTTTCTTTTTTAGTTAAAAATGTTCCAAAAAGTATCAAAAAGTTTGGAAACATCAAAAAACGTGCGAGTACTATATTTTTAGGTTTTAATACAAAGATGTTTGCATAAGGCGACATTTAGACTTAATGAATTATAAAAAGTTTTTTTGAAACTAGAACTGGATATTATGAATGATAATGTCTGTATTATAGGTTTATTAATTATAAAAGTAATTTTTTTCAAAGTACATTTAATAGAAACATTGAATCATTAAATGATAATTGTGACAACATTTTTTTAAAATATATTATTTGAATGATGCTTTTGTTAGGATGAATTATCAAACAGCACAAAACAAATAGAAAAACTAAAAGAAACAACAGATTGGGGTGAAGAAACTCTTATATCTTGGAATGCTGATTTGTCAAAGCAAACTATGGACATGAATTTACTCGACTCGTACAATTTTAAGGATAATAATCGTTTTAAAGTAATATTTTTCAACTAATTAAATTATTTTTTTGTAGGTCATATTTAAATTATTATAATTTTTTATTAAAGGAACTAGAACTAAAAAGACAAGTATTACAACGAACTGCAATTGAAAAAGAAAATACTATCGAAAAAGAAGTGAACGTTTTACTTCAAATTGAAACAGAATTAGAAAAATTATCCAAACTCACTAAACAAGCTGAAAAAGAAAAAGATCGATTACTTGAACAATGGGAAATAGCAGCTAATTATTTTAATTCTAATAATGAAAATATGCAAAGTACGGTGCAGGTCAATACAATTGAATTAAAATAAAAATAATGTACCCAATTAAATGCCTAATATGTTAATATAATTGAATATAAGGAGACTCAAAAAATCAATGAAAATGCTCGAAAAATGTACAGTAAGATGAAAGAAGATAAACAAGTATATGAAGACTATTTTGAGAAAAATGAGGAACTTCAGTTTGAATTGTCTAATATTAGTAAATCAATTAATGAACTAAAGGTATCCACAATTAAAAAACAAGAAAGTTCTAATCACATGTTATCTGAGGTAAATAAAATAATTATAATACATTTTTGTCAAAAAAATTTGTTAAATAATATTTATAATATTATTTTTCATTTGATAAATACTTATTTTATAGTTAAGATTCTATATTATTGACACGGCACCACCCTATGCTCTAGGCTGGCGCTCACCTTTGTCTCTCTCGATATCATTCGTCCAGCTATTAATATAGTATTCATAGCAGCTATAACTTCTGACTGTTTCTTGCAAAACGTGTCAAGAATAGCTAAATGGATGGCATTATTCACACATAAAACTATTTCACAGGGGCACAACGTTTGGCCCGTCGCTTGTTACGGCAACAACATATCTCTCAAATTTCACTCCAAAATGACTCAAGCGTTCCTCCACTATTTGTCTTACTTCAGCGGCGCTACATTTACCGCGTATATAGACCAACCAAAAATTTTTTTTCCGTAATAAAGTGCATTACATTAACTTTAATTTAAGATATATATAAAAGTGTCAGATTTTCCGGAACACTTTCAAAAGTTAAGTTGAAAAAATTATACTTTCTATATGCATTTTTTTGATTTGAACTCCCCCGTATATAGGGAAATGGTCCGATTTAAAAATACTACTTCTCATGAAAATATTGAATTGATCCATACATTTTTCCAAAAGTTACATAAAATATAAAGTAAATAATATAGAATATAAAATCGAGAATTTTTTCACGGAAATCGTACGTTTTTCTTCAAATTTGATGTCCGTTTTCACCACGAAGACAAGTCCAGAGGTCAAATTTTTTTTTTCAAATTAAATTATATTACATTTGCTTTAATTTAAGATATATATAAAAGTGTCAGTCATTTGCGGGGAACGAGGGAATTTTTTTCAATTTTTAAAGGTAATGTCTTCAACTAGATACGATTTGTGATCTTTTGACGTATTTTTGAAAGAAATCGGTCCAGTGAGAGCTGAGAAAAAGTGGCAACAGACATAAAAAAAAAAAAAAAAACACATCATAGTAAAATTAATACCTTCTCCGCTTCGCATCGAAGCTAAAAAAAAATTCTAATAAGTTTAATTTCTATGTCAATTAAATTATAAAATATACATGAAAGTCAGTGTATTGACCTTATTTTAACGCAAAAATAGCATATTTTTGAATACGGTAGCCATTTGCGCAAAGAAGATAGGTCGTCGAGACACATTTTTCTTTTTAATTTTATAGTACATGACATAAACTTTAATTTGATATATGTTTAAAGGAAGCAGTATTTCCGAAATATTTTCAAAAATTAAGTTGAAAAAGTTAGTTTTTGTAAAAAAGCTGCTATTTTAAATTCCCCCTGTGAGCAGAATAAGTGTTAGATTTTCAAAAAAAATGATATCAAATGAAAGGAAAAACCTAAGGTTTCAATATAAAAAAATATTATTTTGATTTGTTTATTTTTGAAAAAGGTATGGAAGTTTTAAGAAAAAAAAATGACAAAATTTACTGAATTATAAATTTGTAATCTTTTTGGATATTTCCCCCATTTTCGGGAAACGAGGGAATTTTTTTAAATTTTTAAGCGTAATGTCCCCAACTAGATACGATTTGTAATCTTTTGATGTATTTTTGAAAGAAATCGGTCCAGTAAGAGCTGAGAAAAAGTGGCAACAGACATAAAAAAAAAATACACATCATAGTAAAACCAATACCTTCTCAGCTTCGCATCGAAACTAAAATTACTGTTTAATAATAACTTTTAGACCAGTATTTTTGAAGTTGTTGACATATTAATTACTTGGCGGGAGGAAGAGTATGGTTGAAAATGTCTATAGAAACAGCAACACACTCTTCACTCTTCATCATTATTTAAAATTATTACTAACTTCTAAAGTAGTGATCCAAAAGTTATTATTGACCAGAAATTTTCTTAATTAGATCATTATTTAACAAATAAGCTAATTAATTATGTGTATTGCCATTATAAAAATTAAAGTTACATCCAATTAAGGTGTACTTAGTTTCGGAAGGATTGGTAAAAGATGAGCAAAATCATTGGGAAGGGATTTTGCGCTCTTCTAGTAATAGCGTACAACTTAAGGGACTTAAACTAAAATTGCCACTGCAAGTTTGGTGACTCTTGGACCAATAGCCACCAAGTAATAAGCTAAAACAACTTGAATAAGGATTTAAAAAATTCAATGGAAAAAGACGTGAACAAGAGGTATTGTCACGTAAGGCAGTTATGCACGCTGCAACAATGAATTTATCTTGTTATATGTGTTTAGAAAAACACCCAATTTATAAGTGTGCAAAATTTTTAGCGTTGTCGATACCGGAAAGATATCAGCAGGCTGCCAGGAGTGGTGTTTGCGAATATAAATGCAAATTTAATGGGTCTAAGAAATATGGTAAATTTCATAATAATTTACTTCATATTGATAGTAAAAATGAATTTGATGATACGCTTAATGTTGTGTCAACACACGCCGCGCAGAGAGCTGGGAAAAATGTGTTGTTGTCCACAGTTGTTGTAACAACAGACCTAAAAAAAAAAACACATCATGGTAAAATTAAATATTCTCAGCTTCGCATCGAAGCTAAAAAATATAAGCCAAAATTTTCGAATTAACGAAATTATTGAACAAAGTTCTCTGAATGAAAGAATTGGTTAATTTCTTCAATTGGTAGTCAGCTTAGGTCTTTGCCTTACTATGTACGTACACCCATAAGTCAGAATAATATGCACTAAGTCGAAAGCTATGAGCTAAAAACGATAAGGTGCCCACAATCGACACAGTTCCTTTAAAAATATTTATAATGTCTATAAATAATTTAAGTATTAATTTTATTATTTATGTTATTGTATAGGTGTTCGCATCTCGTATTTTACTCAGTAAATTAAGCAATAAGTTATCAAATGAAAGAAGCAAACGAAAGCACCTCCATGAAAAAGTAAACAGTTTAAACAAACAAATCAAACGAAAAAAAAATGAAATAGAAATTTTAGAGCAAAATTCTATAAATACTAGAAATAAATCAATGACTAATGAAGAACGATTGAATGCATTAGAAAAAATATTTGAAGTATATAATATTTTCTAAATTATCTCATATTATGCGACTAATTTATTCTTCTGTTATTAGGAACAACAAAAATTATCAAATAAACTGTTGCTTGATAATGATAAACTTCAAACCACATCATTTTATAATTCTTCTGAAGTGAAAAAATTAAAGGCTAAAATTGATCTCATGAAACTTCAGTTGGAACGAAATAATGATACGCTATTGGGATTCGCTAGAGATGAATTAAAACTGGGACAACAAATAATGGATAAAAAAGAAATATTGTACAATTTAGTAAGATGTAAAATTGGTTTACTACTTTAAATATATTTGATTTGATATATATTTTTAGAGCTTTCAATTAGAAATTATAAGCAGTAAAATGACCGAAGTTGAAGGAAACTTAGACATACATACATTACAAGAACATCAAGACCAATTGTTTAATTTAAGATCAGAACTTAATCGTGCCACTGAATATCAAAACCAACTTGACAAACAGCTTAAAATGGCAGAAGTAAAACAATTCATTCAAAATTTTTATTAAAAAACTAAAAATAATAATATTTTATATTATTATAGAATGAATGTCATTATCTTACAAAGGAAGTAGAAAAATTTCAAACTGAACTACAAGTTCTTCAAAAGCGCAATCAAGAAATGGATATTCGCAATTTTGGAGGTTTTAAGTGATCTTTTAGAATAATTTATTTGTATTTTTTTATTTAACTAATGATATTACAATTACTTAAAATTAATTTTTTAGATATTAAAGAAATTCAACAGTTAAAAGATCAAAATCAGCAATGTCATATGGAAGAGTTGTTGCTTAAATTAAAAGTAGCACAAATTAAAAAAATAATGGATGATGAATGCGAGAAAGCATTTTCGTTATCAAAACAACGAGAAGAACTAACTGCAGTATGTTTTCACTAAAAATTTGTCATTTTCAATCACTTTTAATTTATTACATAGTATAAATTTACAGGATATAAATTTAAGAAAAGCTGAGGTCACAGCTATTTTAGAACGCCTAAACGGCGAAAAAAAAATTTTAATGGACGATAAATCATTGAATAAACGACAATTAGATTTTGTTATTCAAAAGATTAACCAAAAACAAAATAAATATGACATTCTTTTAGCATCCATAGGAACAAACAGTCATTCTTTTACTATTAGTGAATATCACATTAGAATCTCGCAAGAAAAGCTAGAACTTCAGGAAATAGGTGATGATTTAGATAATCGAGTACAAAAACTTGAAAATGAAGTGAGAGCAATGGAAAACACTTTACATGTGTTGAACACAACTAATAGATGTTATAAAACCAGTTTATCGTACATGGACCCTGAAAGTTGGTATAGTCAAATAATAAACTATCTTAAACTTTCAGCAATATTTATATTTATTGTTTTCTAAAAATAGGTTCTGAATATAAAGAAAAAACTCGTTTAAAAGAAATACATAATAACATAAAAAGCTCAATTAAACAAAATAATAAAAACATAATTGAAATTAAACGCCAAATAGAAGTAAGATTTATTTTAGTAAAATTTTCGAAGGTAAAGTATCAAGAAAAAATAATTATCTTCAGTATCTTGAAAGTATTTAAGCTATCGTATGTTAAATTTCATAAATGTATAGAGTAACCCATTTGGATAGTTCAGCTTAAAATTTGAAGCCATATATTTTAAACTGGATTAAAAGTAAAATTGTATAGTAATAGCTATTCTTATGAAAGAGATAAAGTAGTAACCCGATAATTAGAAAATGTAAAAATAAAAAGAGAAAGTTCGGTAAATGAGTCTATGTTGAAGTTGTTAAAAATAAAATGGAGCAGTATTGTTGATGTTTTCAATAATTATATTTTTTAAAATTAATTTTTGACTTTAATTAAGAATAAATTTTTGCTTGAGCATCTTTATATATAATATCGGAATCTTTATTGGACGGTCCAGATAGCTCTTGGAACATAAATTAGTAGAAAGTCATCCCATCACTACTCTCTCTACTATAATTTTATATCTATGACAAGGTTCAGATCCATGAGCTACCCCTATAAATATACCACTGATCAGAGCAGTGTTGTATTTAAAATAAATTAATTTGAGGGCAGTTTAAATATGTCTCTAGGTGGAAACAAGTTAAAATGACATTATTAAGACATCAATATTCAAAGTTGACTTACAAAAAAATTTCAAATGAATTGCTTTATTTTCAAAAATATTTTTAAAATATAAAAAAGGTAACATTTGAAATATGATATTGCAAACCAAAATTTTTTGAAAAAAATAATTATAAAGAAAAACAAAATGAGTTCCTCATTATTCCTATGTTATTAAATAAACTTACCATGTTTATGACTGCCTTATGTTTTGTGCTTGTGTAAATATTTTGTTAAAGGAAATACAACACATTTTAAATTATGATTTTTACTTAGGATTTAAAAATGAAAAACCAAGAAACTGAAAATGAGCTAAATAATACTACGACATTACTTGATAGTAAACGTATAAATTTAAAGAGAGTCTTGAAAGATATCGAGGGACAAAATTTAAAATTGGAACGTGTAGAAAGTACAATTCGATGTAGTTTAAATGGTCTTGAAAAAAAATATCACGGTGACAATGAAAAAATTAAGATCTTAGACCATATTAAGGTAAGCATATAGATTTTATTGAATAGGATCTCTTATTTATACTCATACATATTGATAATATAATTAAGAAAATTATAAATTAATTGTTCTTACAATTTTGAAATCCAAACAATCAATTATTAGTTACTATAATTAAATTTAAAGATTTTAGTATAACTTTCGTCATCATTGTCATCAGTTTTTAAACTAAGTATAAGTAATAAAGTAAACAGATCAAAAATTACAAACAATAGAAACTCATTTCCTTACTAACTAAACGCGCTGTATGTATTTTATGTCTATTAATGAACGACCTATGAAGAATATTTATCTAGAAAACTACATCAATTTATCATTTATAGACTATTGAAGAAACAGATAATTGTTATCTTTTGTTGTATATTAACCAAATTAATGATACATTTTTACTTGAAATCCATATATTTAGACAATTTTAAAACACTAACTGTTAATCAAATTAAAAAAAACCCAGCACAGGGGGGTCGCGGCACAGTGGTGACGTGGTATAGATGGATCAAGTATAATGATATCTGACAGTGATTAAAATCACTATCAAAAAAAAACGCTTCGATGCAAATCTTTAGATAGTGTTTAATTTTAAAAAATTGGTGGACTATTCCAAAAGCTACATGATCTGCTAGTTCATTATTAATATCCTAATTAAGATAAAGTATGTAGAATGAAAAAGGGATTATTAAAAAATATTATTTCTCATAAAAAAATAATGTTGATCCATACACTTTTCAATATGTCATAGCATTATAAAGTTAAAAATGTAAAAAATAAAATCGAGAATTTTCACACAATAATAGCATTCGGTAGCCATTTTCACCGTGAAGATAAAATAAAGTCCGAAATTTTTTTTTTGCATAATAAAGTATATTACATTAGCTTTAATTTAAGATATATATAAAAGTGTCAGACTTTCCGGAACACTTTCAAAATTTAAGTTGAAAAAGTTCTACTTTCTACATGCATTTTTTAGATTTGAACCCCCCTCGTATATAGGGAAATGGTCGGATTTAAAAAAACAGTATGTCAAATGAAAGATGTATATAAATACTACTCCTCATGAAAAAATTGTACTGATCCATACATTTTTCAAAAAGTTATAGCATAATAAAGTTAAAAATGTAAAATACAAAATCGAAAATTTTCACACAAAAATAGCATTCGGTAGCCATTTTCACCGTGAAGATAAAATAAAGTCCGAAATTTTTTTTTTGCATAATAAAGTATATTACATTAGCTTTAATTTAAGATATATATAAAAGTGTCAGACTTTCCGGAACACTTTCAAAATTTAAGTTGAAAAAGTTCTACTTTCTACATGCATTTTTTAGATTTGAACCCCCCTCGTATATAGGGAAATGGTCGGATTTAAAAAAACAGTATGTCAAATGAAAGATGTATATAAATACTACTCCTCATGAAAAAATTGTACTGATCCATACATTTTTCAAAAAGTTATAGCATTATAAAGTTAAAAATGTAAAATACAAAATCGAAAATTTTCACACAAAAAAAGCATTCGGTAGCCATTTTCACCGTGAAGATAAAATAAAGTCTGAAATTTTTTTTTTGCATAATAAAGAATATTACATTAGCTTTAATTTAAGATATATATAAAAGTGTCAGACCTTCCGAAAAATTTTCAAAAGTTAAGTTGAAAAAGTTAATTTTTTTTGAAAAATCTGTCATTTTAAATCCCCTCTTGTGGGCAGGTTAAGGGTTAAATTTATGAAAAAAATATACCAAACGAAAAGTAATGATATTATGCATCTATATAAAAAAGAATTATATTGATATGTTCATTTTTGAAAAAGTTATGGCACTTTTAAGTAAAAAAAATTGAAAAAATTTCGAAAATTAGCGATTTTTAAATTTGT